CGCAGCCTTCGTTTTTCGATATAAAAGAGTATAAACAATCATTGCAAACCATTGCAAATCACTGACAATCAATGACAATCATTGCAAATCACTGACAATCAATGACAATCATTGCAAATCACTGACAATCAATGACAATCATTGCAAATCATTGGCAATCAAAACAATCAAAAATTCAGCTTTTTCCCCCTTGATCTTTTAGTGCATTATAAATTGAAGTTTTTTTTTCATTTAGAGTAAATAGATTACGAACTAATCATAAAGAACGTTCAGGAAGAAGTGTACCTATCAAAACCGAACAGTATAGGAGAAGATCAGATGCAGCTGGATATTTGCACACTTTTTACGATTCTTTGGTCGCTTTTAAGCATAACTCGCGAAATTTTCAAGATAAATTAGTTTTGAGAAACATTTTGGGTGAAAATATCTTCTCATAGTTTTATGACGGTTATGAACGTGGATGTGTCTATGAAAGAAGAGAACACTTACACCCACACCGCCATCGTGAACATCTGAACAGTGGCAGAGAACACGTTGAAGTTTGTTTTACCGTCTCATAGGTCGTTTTCTTGCATCGATTCAATATGCGCACAACTATTGGAATTAATTTCTTCTCAATGATTGTTTTCATAATATGAATCGTGACAGGCGATGGATTCAAGATGATATTTGATACTCTGGATGAAAGGTAGATGAGAGCAAAAACGACAAGTTGCATATGCAAATAGCATTGATTTATAAATGCCAAATTTTTGCACTGTCATTCGTAATCGGTTTAAAAAAAAGAAAAAAATCCATATCACAGAACTCAATGATCGAACTCATCTACCTTACTAAATCAATAAATGCATTGAATCGTACGTGATAATAATAAAGATGATAATGCATTCTTTTCAATAAAGCCAGTATGACGTGCGCAAAATATTATATATAAATTGCACGTATATGAGAGCAGTCACTGCTCTCAATCAAGTCCAGTTTTCTCACGTTCAAAATGGCATCATGTTTTCTTCACAATTTGTGCTCTCGACAAACAACATCAGCATCCACAATAGTGCCGAAGTTTGGACCTAGAACCACGGCACTGGAAGTTGTCAAAGGATTCAATGCAAAACTTGATAGAAAAGTAGTGCTGATTACGGGTGCTACATCTGGTAAATTCTTCATCTTGTTCTCACATTTGTCTCGATTTCTTTTTTCAATCGATTAGGAATCGGTATTGAAACAGCTCGTGCAATGGCAAGTACTAATGCTCATGTATTCATCACAGCTCGTGATATGAGAAAAGGGGCACAAGTCGTTGAAGATATCAAGAAAACAACGGGTAACAACAAAGTTGAAGTAATGGAACTCGATTTGACTTCGCTGAAATCGGTACGAGATTTTGTTACACGTTTTCGGCAACGACGACTTCCCATCAATATTCTGATTTGTAGGTGAAAGAAATACAGAATATCAGTCTATGTTCATTCGGAATTTTTCATAGGTAATGCGGGCATCATGGCATGTCCATATTCGAAAACAGTTGACAGTTTCGAATCCCAATTCGGTGTCAATCATCTTGCACATTTTCATCTCACAAATCTTCTCTTGCATGAACTCCGAGCAGGGAAACCAGCACGTGTAATCATGGTCAGTTCTCTTGCAAATAAATCTGGTGGCATCAATTTCGATGATATTAATTGGGAAAAACAATATGACAAGTGGGCAGCTTATGCTCAGAGCAAATCGGCAAATATTCTGTTCGCAAAACAATTCAATAAATTATATGCGAGAGATGGAATTCAAGCATTTTCTCTACATCCGGGCATTATCATGACAAATTTGCAACGACATACACCGCCGGAAGAATTAAAAGCATTGGGAGTTCTTAAAGAAGATGGCGGTGTCAATGATATTTGCAAAACAATTGAACAAGGTGCTGCAACGAGCGTCTATGCTGCTCTGGCACCTGAGCTGAATAATCATGGTGGTGAATATTTGGAAGACTGTGATATTAGCCGTGGTGTAAATGTTGGAGATGGTCTTTGGGGTATGGGACCACATGTCGTCGATATGAACAATGCTGAACGCCTCTGGAAGATCAGTGAACAACTCGTGGCATTGAAATAAATCAAAGTACCATATTCAAATTTTATGAATATTAAGGATTTTGACTAGCAAACATATTCTGTCTTTTTTTGTTGGTTGTTGAATAAAAACTAGTTTGCTTCTGATATATCTTTGTTCAATAGCACCTTATCAGGATCGACTTTTCTTTTCGTTGCCATAGTACATCACCCATCGTTCGCCTAAATGTTGTTGTAGAACAAAAAGTTTGATTTATCAAAACTCCACTAATGTGGTTAGGGTTTAGGTGTGCCCGTGTGAGTGTGGGTCTAAGTATTCTTTCCTTTCATGACCATATCCAAACAGTCACACTCACACACCCATGAAGTACTGCGCGATAAATATCAACAAAAGTTGCTGGTATTAAATAAAATAATTTTAAAAATTTTCACAAGAATTAGTTGAACAACAGATTGTACAGCATAAAATGGGAACTGGAGTTGCCATGTGGGATGGAGAGGGAGCGTAGTGTCATGACAAAAAGATTTACAAATTGTCGTCTCAGCGCAAAGCTTATTAATATTTACGCATACATGAGCAAAGAGATTGCTGTTAATTATAAATACGGGCGTCTTATGTTGCTATACGATTTTTTGGCATAGGTATGGGTGAGTGTGGATGTGGGTGTCAGCATCGTACAGCAAAATATCCAAACCATATCCACACGCACAGCCTAATTCTTTTAAATCTTATCAGATTCGAAGTTAGAGAAGAATGAATTAATAATTAATTAGATCCTTTTCTTGATGATTTAATTACTTCGAAAAAAAAAAAGACTCCATGTACAAAGAAATTTGTTTCAGAACCATATGTATTATAGAAGAAAAAAGAAGATTTTGTCATATGTTGGTTTTGTTCTTTATTTATTTTGTTGAACTAAAAAACTATGTTGTACTTTTGCGAAATAAACAAGCTACTCGCAACAAATTACAAACAAATTTTCATGTCGCTACTTCCCAATAACAACTGGATTTTCCAAATTACTGTGTATGTAGGGAAGTGTACCTGGTCAATCTGCTTATATTATTAGTCTACTGAAGACGAAAATACTCGGTTTCAATAGTTATTTTTATTAGTGAGTCTTCTGGACGTGTTATGAGGGGTAAAGGCTTAATATCATCGATTGCAGTTTGTCTTTGTGGAACATCTCTAGTACATCATATGATTATCTTAAAGAAGCTATTATCTTGTAATTTTTTATTACAAAGATTATTCTTGATAACAATATATTAGACTTATTTTTATATTTTAACAACTTCATAAATGATAGGTAATAAGTTGTACATTGTTGGACCTTGAAATTTTAATATAATTTGATAATTTGAATCCGAATTTTGTACAATAACACCATCAGATGATATTAATTGAGTTTCTTGACTGTTCAATATTCGATAAATTCTTACAACATAATCTTTGAATTGTTTGAGTTGTTCATTATTAAGACGGATCGAATATGATTGACATTCTCGTGTAAATGGTGTTTCAATACTTATGGTTAAATTATTCGTTGAACCAGACCACCAACCAAGACCAACTGTAGTACATGACTGGAATTTTGTATCATGTAAATTTAGGATTGCCGATTTGCATGTACGAGGTGAAGTAATGCCAGTCCAGCATGGTAGTGGAGAATTAAGTATTTCAACAGTACAAGATTCCTGCGTAATTGGCACTGAATGAATCAATCCCGCTGCTATTAAAACCAGAAACCCAATTATTGATGACATTCGATATTATTTTTCGAACCCAAAAAAAAATAACGAAGGCAAAAGCCGATTTTTATACTCGTTTTATTCTTTGCATACAATGCATGAAAACAGAAAAAGAAAAAAAAGATATTAGGTGATAAAGTAATGACGAAAAGCAAACGAATTGAAATGACCTTGATGAATCATTGTTTTATTTTGTATGTTTTGTTTTTGAGAAAGTATGTGAGCATCATTGACAAGTATCAAGCTGATGAGTAATTCTACTGACCAAACTTGATTAGAAAGCAGATAAAATATATTGCATCAATTTGTGAACAAAATTAGCGAAATAGAACATTACTATTTCTCTATATAGTGGTATCGATTCATTTCATTAGATAGCAACGTAATGAAGTTTGTACTTTGTTTGATTGTAAAGACATGCACAAAATTCATAATATTAATAACAAAAGATGATGTGTAGAATATCACAGAAGAAAGCTTTACATAGGTATCATATTAATCTGAAACATCTTATTCTCATCTTCTACATGCTTCGTTGATGGAAGTACCTTATCTCAAAAACTTTACTGAGTTCGAATAATACTCTTCACATAAACTAAATCTGTTTGACTATCATTCCTTTGAGTCAGATGTTGTGCTCTTTATATTTTTCGCTTCGTACAGCCATGTGTTAAAAACTCATGATTGAGTAGGACTCGCATATATGAAGAAAAAAAGCGATTTCTCTCTTGCTTCCAAAGCAACTACTTTTTCTTTTTGTCCAAAAGAATTGCAATCGGATGATATCATAAACAATCGCAAACAATTGATATAAGGAGATAGAAAGAAATACGGACGAACACAAAAACAAAAATACAACGAAGAGTTACTGTTCAACACACTTATCAATTGTTTTCGTCAAACTCATAAATACATTGATCGAAAATATAACTCTTCTTTCCTTACAGATCTTGTCCTTATCCTCACTGGTATGCGGTATACACACTTATCGTGTTACATTCTATTCATAAGAAATTTCCCAAAGTCTTTCATCTAGAATTCCTAAGAGCTTTTAATTTTCTGCAATTTTAATTTAGCCCAAAATACTGATAGCCATAATATTGTACAACATGCAGAACCGTAAAACAACCATTCATGTTTATCGCATATCATAGAAGAAGTCATACGTGAAATAGGATCCTCGACATCAGTGAATTGAGAATGAGTATAATATAAGACGAAAACGTCAGTAGAATTTACTTGCTTAGGCTGATGCTGATTAAAGACGAAAAACTGTTTCGCACACTTTATGGGAAACTTATGTTCATTGTGTAAATGTAATTCAATTGAGACTGGCGAACATACATACGTTTACTCAGCCTGTAATATTAATACATAAATCAAACTAGGAAACATATACTCGTTCAATAATCTAATCATCACTGTCAATCTATTCTATCGAATTCATCAACATAATTTCATCTTCATTTTCAACATCAATTGTATGAATTGAAGCAATTCTCATGGACTTTTTTCTCGCAATAAATTTTAATCAATCCAAGTGATTTATACTATCTCTTATATTTTGTGATAAATGTTTGATCTTACAAACAATAAAATAGAAATAGTGTTATTAATAATCAAGTTCCAGTCACTTGTCGTTGTAAAATGAAAACTACAACAAATTAAATCTAGTCTTACAAACTTCAGACATATACTGTACTATAAAGTATACAGAGTGTTGCAGAAGTTTGTTTCATTTCACGAACATTAGCATATCGAATTATGACTGAATATCTTTCAATATAAATATACAAAATACAATTTGTCCAACAATTTTACAAATAATATCCAAAAGAACGATTTGAATTTGCAAAAAATTTGATACCAACGTTAAAGAACATTAACAATTAAAAACAATCGTTTTCTTTTAGAATAAAGCTGCTTTTCATTTAGATAATTGATCGATAAAAATATAAAGTGAAAGTCAATATGTATAAGATGTATAGACATATATACATGAAGATCTGATATCGTTTCCAGTATTTGTTGTAATTTGCATTATATAAAAACAAAAAACTCTAAAGAACATACTGTAATATTGAAAAATATATACATACATTACTTAAATTGTTTAAGAGATATCCACGCTTCTTTTTACGACAAACATTTCGGACACCTTACATTTTTCATGACAATGTTAATATGCCTTATGTATCTTTGTTTGATTCATTCGAATATATGTAGAAAACAGAAATGAAGTATACCGAGCCATAGAAAGACACTTTTTGGTTCATTTAATTGAGAGTATTTTGACAAACAAAATATAAAAATTGTTCATGATGTATTTGCAGTACGAAAAAAAAACCCATTGTTTTCGACTAATTAATGTTCAGTATCGGAGCAAAATATAATCATAAAAGTGCAAATGAGTCTGCATAAGAATCATTTTTTTCTTCGGTTTATGTCGTCACTATTATGATTCCCCACAAATAGAGAATAAGACGATGAAGCAGAGTTATATATATATTGATTCAAGAGAACTAATCTCCATTTATCTCAATGATCTCTGTTAATAAATAGTTGAAGTAGAAGCTTGAATGTAAGATGCTTGCTTTTATTTTCTTAATCAGCTTTTTCAATGAAAATACTTAATAGAAATTTTAAAATGATGAATTATTTTCTTGAACATTAAAGATAATCCAATATCTCCATGAAAAGGATGTCAACATGTTTTCACTAACACGTTCGTTTCTTCGCTTTTGATGAAAAGTATTACCGCTTTCGGAAACATATTTTAAGTATTATCCAATCAACAAGTGTTCATATAATATTATAGTGTATAGAAATTAAAAACAAAAGTAAAATTTGCAACTTATAAAAGCAAGAAATCAATCAAAGATTAAATTCAATTCAACAATACCATGCACATATAACAGATTTGAAGAAATTAGTTCTTAAAACTAGAATGAAATATCCTATCATATGATTAGAAATTAAAATGCAATACTTTTTTTTCTGAAAAACCATTCATTTGATTTGATATCATACATATGACGGCTATCAATTTGTCATCCTACTTTCTGACATTTATGATCACAAGTAAAACATTCATCAACAGTAAATTATGAAAAACAAGTTTCGTTTATCAAGTAAAAAAAAAATACAGCTTGGCTTATCAAAAAATAAGCATATATATATATATATTATAATCATTAATCATATCAATCTCATTAATATTTGTTCATTTTTTATAAATTTCTTATCTCATTTTTTGCAAAAAAATTCTCATATGGTGCATTATTGATTAAGAATACAACCACACTACAGTATGTATATCTATCTAATCATATTGTTCATGAATAAATCTTTTTTTTCTCATACTTAAAAATTAGATGACTTAATTGTATCTTGTATCTATTGCAAAACCATATATTTCAATTGATTTGTTAATTTATAAATGTGTCTATGTATTTTTTACACATTTTTTTTCCATAGAGAATAAACTATGAATGATTAGGGAGAACTTGTCACTTGACTGTCTATCGTATTTCACCGAAAATTGATTGACAGTGAATACGTAATGACGATGCAACGTGCTAGTCATAACACTGATTTTTTTAATCATACATGTTTTTTCACGATAGCATAATTCTCAGGTAGGCTCTTAGGTAATTTTTTTCCATTTAACGTACATGTAGAGATTAAAAAGAAAACACAAGTTAACGTCAAAAATCGGCATAGCAGGAGGGATACACCTTCTATCATTCTACTTTTCTTAGAAATCAATCAGTAAACAGTAGGGTGTGATAATTCCTATGTTAGTCATTCGAAGACATAGACCGTTTATCGCTCTTACCGCCATCACTTTGATGGTCACCGGTCATCATATAATATGATGGGTGAGAGCGTTAAAGTGTTTGTATACTTCTTGACATATTTTTTTTCTTTATTCTTCCAATTGAAAACAATTGTACAGAAAATAAAAAATATAACTGACTCGTTTTTTTTACACAATCAAATGACATAACAGAATATTCGAACAGACGTTATCAATTACAAAGTTTGTTGCTACATGTATATCCATGTTTATATTTATCTCTGTCGGCACTCAGTCAATCAATTTGAAGATCTTCAGATGAAACATTTCACGCATCTTGTCTTTCTTATAACGTGTCTGTTTTATCATAAAACAGGCAACAAGACGGACGAGAACATGATGAAGAAAAAAAGAAAGAGAGAACATGTTGAATGAGTATTTGTTTTAGGAAAAACGCAAAGGGCGAAGCAGTTGAACGAAAAGAATAACCACATATGATATAGTCGATACATAGAGTGAATGAGTGAAGCGTGTGAGTTTCAAGTGTATTCATTGTATGTTTATTCATAAAAAAACAAAAACGATACATAAATCAAGTAAGTCTAAAAGAACAACTGATAACTATTTTATGACTTTTAAAGAATTTTTCGATTTATTTTACATAAGATTTTTGTATATTATGAGTCGTTTGAGTATCAGTATATTTGATACATAATGTCAATCGTTTCTTTTTCTTCTTCTCTATTTATTCAGTTTCAGTAACATAGAAATCGGCAGGACTTATTTTGACATAAAATTTGATTTGCCTAAGACTTTGGTTTTTGTCAAAAATAAACGAACATCTGCTATATAAAATCTTAACACGTGCCTCATTATTTAAATATTCAATATAACGATCGAATATTTCTGTTTCTTTTTTTATCATATAGATTGACAACGGTATATGGGACGAACAATTATCACTTTTATAGAATGAGATTGATATGTCTCTATAGGAAATAAAGGTGTCAATATAGAAATAGATAAGCGCACAAAGAAAGAAAAATCGTTTGAGATCTCAATCTAAATGTCTATAGTTAATGAAGCGAAATTTAATTCTTTATATGAGAAAAAAGAATTCTACAGGTTAACAAACAAACCATCTGTCTAAATAGATGCAAATAGGTATTGAATGTTGTTCGATATTATTCGATTGACTGCTCATTATAAAGATGAGTATTGTTATTCTTTCTCATTGTTATTTTTATTTTGAGTATCCATGAATAACAAGTAGAGAAAAAAAAGAGAAGATCTATACTAACACTTGACTCTTATAGAATAAATTCTTATATATATATTTTATCTTATATCTTTATATTTCTAAGGATTGCTCAATTGTATACCTATATCAATGACGTAAAATGCACAGTAGGTGAACATTGTACGCTTCATCATCCTAAGGGCATCCTTCCCTCCTCTTCAATATACACGTGTGTGCACTCATTAAGAATAAATGAATGAAGGAAAATCGTGGCAAAAACAATAAGTGTATATGATAAAGCTTCTCCACCTTTCATTTTTTTTTCTCTGGTGTGTATGTATTTAGTTAGGTGATCAAATATCGATGTATATAACGTCTGATGAGGTGTAGATTTCATCGAACTGAATGAACAGCCGTTGGGCACTAAAAAATTAGACACCAACAGAGAAAGAAAGACATGTTATAATGAATGATCGAAATCTTTAAGTTTATTCCAAAATTCGAATAAACCTGTAATACACATTTGAAATTTCTTATCTTTTCTTATTCTTTTTTTCTTGATTTCTTTGATCATGTCGTAATAGTTAACCGTTTTCTAATATGCGCATTTTTGTGATTATTCAACTAAATATACGCCTACTCGCCTATAGTGACAAGAGACTAGGAAAAACTTCAAACAAAATACCAATTCACTCAATAGGAGGTTACATCATCGATGATTGTTGTCTTAACCATTAGTTTTCTCGCTTTATAAATGAGCACATAATTGAAAGGTACAGATAGATTCTTCAATTGAATAACATCATAGGAATAAAAAATGAGTGCGTGTTAGTTGATGGCATCAAGCAGAAAAAAAAGTATCGGTTAAAAGTGTGAAAATTGTCAATCCATTCGAATAGAAAATTATTATTCACTTTCACCTATATTCGGTCCGTTTCGGTTCATTTATACATAGAAGTTTATTTTGTCCTAAACCTTAAATTATTAATTAAATGTGTCAAAAAACAAAATATATGTATATATATAGAAAAGTAAGTTAACATATTATTTGATGTTATAAGAGAAACTTGCAAATATTTACATCAGATTTCTTATTTGGATTAACTCCTTTTATCAAAAGATATTATATGTAAACGGAAGACAACAACGCCTTGATTGTCTGTTTCCTTCTTGCGACCTACTGTTTTTATCATATCTAAACTTGATGCATCTTTATATTAGGATGGGGTGTATCAAGTCGAGACCAACCCCCGCGCGAATCTTGAGTAGTTCTCGAGTTTTATTCTTTTTTTTTACTGACCAATTTTCAAAAAGAATGTTCGTTTCCTTGAATTTTCCCATCAACCTTCTGAGTTATCTACTCCCGCCCCCTCCTCCGTTCGATCCTGGCGACTTCGGAACACTCCTCTATTAGAATTTTCTGTTCATTTATATGTATTTCTTTATATAAGTAATGTTCAAAATGTTCGTTCGGCAATATTCCACCAAAAATAAGAAAATCAAGTGCGTATATTTATTTGACACAGATGTGTCAATTTTCCGGTGTATGCAACAACATTTGCTTGTTAATACTCAATTTCGAGTGGTTGTTTTTCAATACACACACTTATGATATATCTCTCTCATTCCGTATGGTATTGAATAAAAAGAAGAAGAAAAAATCGTAGAGAAAACAAATTTTCCGTTTTTTGACTAAATAACGGAAATGTTATATGTGAAAATATTCACACAATTCGCATACAAAAAAAAAAATAGGTACACGTAAGTTGTTTTTAAATGAAAATTTCTCATTATGCAATGATATTTTTTTGTTTTTTTTTTCTCTCGTGAAATAATTTCCAAGAGGACGCTACTAATTTTTTTTGTTTGATATATTCTGTAAATAGCGGCAAAAACACAGCAGTAATCATTAAAAAAAGATTGCATGAACATCAAATAAATGAAAAGACCATTTTGACTGATGGTGATGATTACATGAATGCTTTTTTTTTGACCCTGAGAAATATTCACTCTTCTCGTTTGCTCATATAGTGGAACAATTTTTTTTCTTTTCTTTTTTTTTTTTTTCATATAACGTTTCACTTGAACAATCCTCTTTTTTGTTATATGACTTGAAATTAACATTAACTTGCTAACTAAAGAAGCATGAAATATAGTCGTTTGTTCTATATGTATATCATGTTTTTATATTCAATGAATGAACGCCTGTGAAGTTTCGAATGTCGGCACATTGTTCATAATCTAACCGATTGTATATTTTAATCAAATTTTTTTTTATGTCAAGTGTTCATCTCGTCTCGCGTGCCATAGTCTATAACGGATGATTTTTATGCATGCTCATTTTGCATTTTTGTTTTCTTCATCATTGCCTTTAAAACTTAATGTCGGTTTGTTTGAATAACAATTAAATTCTCACCTTGAACGAACGAGCATGTGAACGTATATTCGATTGTTCAACTTGGATGAGATAATCTGGTCACTCATCGTTTTTTTCATGTCTTTGTTTGGTCTTTTGAAGAGTAAAACAGCTTAGCTTAATAATATTGCTTTCGACAATATAAAAAAAAAAAAGAGAGAGAGAGAGAGGTAAGAATTCTTTTCTTTTTTCACACTATTAGAAATTGGATCGTTTTAATATTTACTCATTTATAACTTTGTTTACATACTACCATTGTGAACAGAGAAAATGAATGAGAGAGCGAGCGCGCCTTCATGGTTTTCTTTTTCTTTCTCGCTGTTTCATGTTCGGGATCATTGATGAATTTTATATACAAATAGATATGACATTATCATGATGTTGATGAACGGCAGGTGACTATTTGCAAATCGTTTGATTTCGTTCCGGAGATTTGTCATTTCCTTTAAATAATGACCTGTAACGAAAAATCGTTAGAAAGATACACAGAATAAAAAACAAAACATTCACTTGCTTTAAAATTACGTGAGTAAAAGATTAAGCTGTCCGTTAAGGGCAATTACTTTTCTATTTCATAAACGATTAAACTCATTATTAATGTTATTCCCATAAGCTTAGTCGAACTTCGAGTTTCAATATGATTCGATTATTTCAATCGAACTCTTTTATGTAAGTTAATGGTTAAGTTATAGGGATGTACCCATTGGAGAGGGTGCGCGTTCCCTCGCTTTTGAAAATTTTTTGTATGTACTTTTCAGCTCTCAAAAAAGTTTCTTGCACTTCCTCCTTCCTCTACTTTTTTCTCTTCGTCACATTCCTGTTGAGTTCTTTTCCTTACCTTTATTATTTCTTAATATATTTTACTTACTAGATATAAAATCAAAATAGATTATTAGAGGTAGAATATATATCAAATCGAGTGTTTCTTATATGTAAGTATTAGTAAAATTAAAGATTTTCTTGAAATTGTCGATTTCTTACAACGCATATATTTTAAACATAGGAGGATATTAAAAAAAGACGTAGAAACAGGGATGAGCCTCAATTTTCATAAACTTTTTTTCTTCAGTAGAGTTCAAGCTAGGGATACACCAATACCAGTGGAATTTGGAATACTGGTACTGGCACATCACTAGTTCTAATATTTTCTTGTTTTTCTTGTTCATTGATTCCCCCACAAAAAAACAAGCAACCAACCAATGAAATTCGGTTAACTTTACTAAAAGTCTTTTGATCGGCTTCTTGAGTTATTCCCCAATTCTAACAGTCTCGGCATACCTTTACAAAGCAGATACACAATAATATTAGAGAATAACTAAGATTTAATTTGACAGTTTAAACGAATATTTTCATATATATTTGATAATAAAAAAATCTTTATATGTGACACATTTTTTTTTTTATCTATCTATTGATGAATGTCCAAAAATTCGAATGACATATCGTTGTCAAATACTTGCATGCATGCGATGATAGATCGATGGCATGCGTCCTAAAATAAGTTCAAAACCAATGTGTCTATCTTATCATTTTATGTTCATCAATACATAGGAGAGTTCATTAGTCGAAAAAGCGAAAACAAAATATAGCGTGAGAGCAGAATATCATGACTCGAAAAAGACAGAAAAAAGAAAATAGTATATGCTATCACGATGCTATTGATCAAAAAGAAATTGAAAAAAGTTTTTTTTTCCGCTCATTGAACTTCCTGAAAAATATCATTTTTCTATTCATTTAGAAAAAAAAAAGAAAATCGAAAGCTAGTGATTAAATGAATGATATAATATGATTGTGTCATTCTAATCTTTTTTCTATCCCGCCCCTTCACCTTCTCTTCGAGCACTACCGGTGTTCGTTGACCACATCTCATAATCGTCATGCTTGTATCCCATATAAGTCAATCAGACTGTCTGTTGTAGTGATTAGCAGGGGAGCTGTATTTTGCATGTCTCTGCTAATATCTGGATAGACAGACTGATAATTAGATGAGAGACAGGGGGTTAAACTATCGAACTACATTTATATATATATAAAGAGAATGATAGTATATAAGTTGACTGAAAAATTTGTTTTCGTTTCTTTTTTTTTTCGAAGAGAAATAAATAGTCTTACAACAACTCAAATTTTGTTATATTCTAGATAAACAATTGTTTTCATTTTGTTTTCTTCAATCATAATGAGTAATAATGATGAAGCTCATGGTTATGAAGGTTTATTAATAACTTCAGCTTCGTCTAATAAGCGTTCATTAGCAAATCACTTTGTTGATTGTGTAAAAAAAACGAAATATTTTGTTCCTTGTACATTATTATCACCATCAAAAACAATAAATGATCAAACAATAAAAGATACTCAAATACTTCAACTAAAAAAACCTATAGAGCAACAACCAAAACGAGGTATGAAGAAAAACAAGAGATTTTTTTCTCATGGAAATTATTTTATTCATTTGTTCCAGGCTCATTATGTGTTGCGTATTCAATCTCAAACGATGAACATACTGATAATTTAATTTTGACATTACATGGTAAAATTCATGGTTATTATTTTGTTCTATTTTCTTAAAGTTCTCTGATATGTTTTAGTAATGCGTGCACGACAATTATCAATTCTAGATTCCGATAAAATGAATACATTTGTTAAAGTAAAACAAAAAAAACTAAGAATCTTATCGCAAAAAAGAGAAAATTAAAATTTTTCATTTAGGTTAAATATTCTCATCATTTTGAACAATCTTCAAAAATTATTCATGGAACTAATTCACCTATTTATGATGAAAGATTTCATATGTAAGAAAATATTACAAAAAGAAATTAATTATTCGTATTTATTCTTTTGAAGACTTTTAAATAAAAATAATTTATCAACACCATCAAAACGTTTGACAATCTCTGTTTATAATCAATCCATATCAAACAATAAGTAAGTTGTATCTGTGTGTTAAAAAAGAGATATCGAAGTTTTTTCTCGACACTATCTTCAAACGAACCTTATTATGACAAGTTCTTATTTGTGTGAAAACAGTAATCGAATCATCTTCATTTCTTTCTTTCTTTCTAACATGTGTAAACGAAGATTCACTATCTTTTCTCCCTTAACAACACATCTGTTAGTCTGACGAATAAATATATCGATTACGGAGTGCGGGGGGGGGGGGGGGGGGGAAGGAAAAAAAAAAAAAAAGAAAAAGGAAAGAAGAATATAATATTTTATGTGTTTAATTGTTGATTTTTTTATTTGAGTAGTTATATGTCGTGTTTGTGAT